AGAGAGAGAGAGAGATGATAGAAATCTCTTGCTAGTCTTAGGTTCATTAAAATTTGTTGTCCTTTAATGTTTTGGATAATGGGAAAGAAAGTTCAATGCAAATCCATTTATTATCTATATCCGAGAGACTCCCGAATGCATAATTCGATATTAATTATTGTCTCCATTATACAAAGAGAGGAAATTTCTCGCTAAGTTGTATTAAATTTACGATCACGGTACAGCAGCGTGGCAAGTTTTTGCCGTTCGATCGGAGCTAGCGGGGCTTACATCACGTTTATTCGCTCGTATCGTGCCAAACTAATTATAATAGAGTCCGATTGGCGGCGGCGACCTAGTTAGGATCGGTAACAAGGAAGAGGATATCTATTCCTTTTGATGGGAAAAGTAATTTCGCAATGCCGATAGCTTATGTTTCTCCCGACGTCCAATTTACATTTCATATTTCCTGACACGGTGCAAATGCTTCGATGGTATAAATGAGAGATAATTTCGACCGCTTTATTATCATTTTGTTATTTTCCTTACTCACATTAAACTTGGACACTTGATACCACGATAATAAATCGCAACGCGAAATTGATAAGAAACGAAAAGCATTGAAAGAGATGAAAAACCATATAAGATGTTAGATGTCATTTTTTAAATATAAAGAGGCTTTAAAATTTCCTGCGGATTATTTTATTCGGCTTAGCACTTTCACCCTAATTAACTTATTCTATGAATTTACTTTTTCATGACAATTATCTTCCATTGCATAAATTAATTATTTTATTTATTTTATTTTTAGACAATTCTATTTTTCAGATTGAAATTTCGTTTTTATATGCACGCAGAAACGCTTTCTCTCGAAGTGCTGCTAGTATTTTTTAAAACTCTTGATTTTTACGTATCTCTAACGATTTTTTTCCATTCCGCAGATTTCGTGAGCGTAATTCCAGTTTTTACATGGCGCGACCGATGGTTTGTTTAAAGCAATCAGGTAAATTTACGATGCCCCTGTTACGCGTATTGCTTACACCAATGGCCTCGGGACAATTCAATGTTATCCGAGGCGTTTTAGCGTGATTGGATCCCGCCGGCCGGCGAGAAACTGAACTCGACGATCGGGAAAACGCGCGCTGCAGCGAACGGTGCAAAGCGATTTCGAGACTAAGATGAGAAAGCGGGGAGGAGGTAGGACGATTAGAAAGGGATGCCTGACTAAACGTGATCCTTCGGGCGTAACGTTACTCTCTTTTGAAAGCGATCGGAATCGATCGAGCGATGCCGCAAGCATGTCAAGCATCCCAAATTCAAGAATAAAAGAAATTCGAGAGAGATTATATCATAATTTCCCCGTCAGATTTTTGAGAAATTGGATAAGGAAAATAAATTTTCCTTATCAAGAAAGACTCGATATTTATCCTAACACTTTAACGCAAACATCGTTTCGCTCAGCGAGAGAGATAAAAAGAGAAATCTTTCACCGTGCACTTTTATATAGAGCGACTATTAATAATAACGAGCTTTTATAGCGAAACAGAGAAAGAACTTTAATAATTAATCTCTAATATTTTGAAGGTTCAAGATAATTATAAAGTAATTATAAAGTCAATAAATATAGAGCATCACTCGCACGCTTGACGAATACGTATACATTGAACCGCGGCTGGCCGTGTATTTTAACAGAGTTGATAAGCAAACTCGGTGCGCACTCTCAATTCCTAGCTAACATAATAATCGTTAATTGCGCAGACCTTACCCACGGTCCGAAAGTTTGTGTAATGACGTTTAGTTTCGTTCGCTGGCCATTTGTGCGATCGAAACATTTGTGGTACCATTAGAAAAACTTTGAAATTAACATTACTGCGCGATTGTGATTCTAAACGATGAATTACTTCCCCTGAGAGTAGATAAGGTCGTAGTTAAACTGTATAAATTGTCTAAATAGGAAATGCCATTAAATTTATTTTTTAATTATATGCACACGATGAAATATTAAAACAGATAATTACAAATAAATATTAAACAAAGCTAATAAAAATATATATATAATTCAATACTTTGGTAACGTAACAGAAATATTTATCCAAATTCAGCATCATTTTATTAACTGATGTTTAATTGATGTTTGTTTAATAAAATGGAAATATCGTTAATCAAATTATCTTATTTGTGTTATATATTTATATAAAAATATAAACTCGGAATAAATTAGATTTTTTTATCGCAAGATGTAATTTCTGTTTGTACGGCCAGGAACTTTCTACTTATACTTTTATCAGTGGATTTTTCCCAAGTCAAGAAAAAATATATTTATCAAGAAGATGGATATGGTGGATCCTTTGGGAATCTGTGAATAATCTTATGATCACACACAGTGCAAAATTGGCCAACGAGTTTTCTGATAAGATATATTCTAAGTTTGCTCAATTGGCAATTTTGCGAGAAGGACAGCTGCAGAAATTAGTTTTATTTCGTTCGGCGAACTGAACAACTTTTGCTCAATCTGTAAACAAATCAGCAAATAACAAAGTGTACCCTATAAGTGAGAGAAGAGATTAAAATTGCTCTTTTTTTAAAGCTACGAATACAGCAGAATGAGAAGGAAAATGGATTTATACATGTTGTCCCATAATCGCTAATATTTTAATAAAGCAACCTATAGATTATTTAAATTTAGAAATTTTAATAAATTAATAAATTATAATACCACTAAATTGAAAGATTTATCTTCAAGCGAAATGTAGATTATATAATCTTTCATTATGTCTATCTTTAAAAATTTGTATGTTTAAGTAAGAAAACTAAGTCTAATTTAATAAAAAAAAAAAGATCGAAAAAGAAATGTCACCCGAGTTTTCGCAATGATCGCGATGATTTCACTTTCCGTTCAATTTATTAAATCACATATATAATAATATATTACTTTGAAGAAAAATTTAATATAAAATAATAATTATAAATTAACTTTAACACTTCCTTTCGAGCAAAATAAAACATATTTCATTTTTTCAAATAAATTTAATAAGTCATCATCTAATTTATCCATTTTTAAAAATAAAATCTACTGATTTTGATCATCACTAATTGTTGTCGGTCGCAAATATATATCGTAGGCTTTTACGGTGAATAAATTGGATCCTCATGGGCATTCCAGTTTCGTGTATCCGCGGGCAAATGGCGCGACTTAAAGTTTCGGAAGGACCAAAGTTCGTTTTAATGTCGTTGCAACTTTTGCTCCCACGGATTTGTCGGCGCGATTTCGCACGCTTCCGTCTCGCGAGTTTCTAATTCCAGAGTTGGGTTAATGGCGAGCGTACGTCCGCAACAATGTACTTTTGCGACAGTCGCGTATCGATGTGACTGCGTCGGGGTAGTTTTCCCAACGACGTCTGTCACCGCGTCGCTCTTCTACAAGAGATACCGCGGTCGGGCCGTTGACAATAATTTAATCATTATGGAACGTAACCGCGACAGAGCCATGAAATTATCATCCTGTACATTTATGAAAGGATGGCTATTTTCTGATTAGCTCTCTTTGAAAGGAATAATTTATCTTAAGAGCTATTTGTGAAAAAAATATATTAGCTTTAAAAAACTTGTCTAACTCATATATTAAATAATAATTAATTATTAAATAATTTTAAATAAATAAAATTTTTTTATGTTTAGATTGTACTTATGTATCACACGTGTATTAAATCACAATTTATGAAAAGAAATTGTATGCATTTTTAAGACTTTTATGTACTTTTTTCATGTAAATTATGGATTTTCAAGAAAGAATTTAAAATAATCTCAATGTTATAAGTAGAGAAAAATATTTCATTTCAAAAAAATACAAAGAAAATAGTAAAAAAGAATTTATCTGGCAATGACAATAAAATAGTGGAATGCTGATATCTCACGGAAAATTCGACAAACATAGACGAATGCTGATAGAGATCGTACGTTCACGTTTCGCATCGATCGACAAAACTCGACGTAACTTTGTCGACGCGATTAACCGCGGAATGCGTACGCATGCTTTCGATATATGAACGTATGTAAATGTAAATCAAAACCGGAGAGTTGAGTTTCTTAATTACAAACATGTCCGCTATGGTAGCTTTTACCACAGTTTCAACTTTTAATACTTTTGATTTCTAACGTTACGATTTTTTGAATAAAATCTCTACAGAACAGAAACAGTATAAAGAGTAACGCAGTTACCTGTTACTATAATTATCATTGAATAAAACATGTAATTAAAAAATATTATATCAAACTTTGTCAACCATTGATAAAACATTATTTCGATAAAAATAATTTTTGCTTATCTTAATATAATTCATATCATAAATATATTTGTCGAAATTAAATCATCTTATTTATTTCACTCGTCACCGAATTTAACTTCAATGAAAGTGTCGGTGCTCGTTAATTTTCGGAAAGTAAGCGTCCGCTGGATCGCGCCGACGGATCGAGGTCAATAATGGCAAGGTTTTACCCATACTGATGCCAGAGCTGGACGGATCCTCGTTCTTGGCGCCCCAACTGCCGGCCAGGTTGAGTGCCAGCAGCGGCCGTTCCTTCAGCAGCTCGGCGACCGAAGCCAGGCCCTCGCATCCGCAACCCAAATGGGGCAAGTGCAACGCCTGCACTTGAATGCAGTCGCGGAGTGCCTCGCAGACCCGGGACACCTGCTCGCCGGACAGATTCATGTCGAGCACCAGACGCGACAGGCTGCCGGAGGCATGACTCAGGCCGCGACAAAGAGCGTTCACCACGCACTCCAGTCTGAAATCAATCGTGTTAATGACGGCGTTAATGGGACACTTAGACACGCTCTCGCATTTTCTTGCCAATCGCGCGTTAACGTCCGAAACGATTCTCAATAAGCGAGCGAACAAGCGAAACAAATCGGAAGGTCTAAAATTGTTCGACCTATGGTTATGGTTTCCGACCGGAATTATTTTGTTTTTTCTAGAAAACACAATAGAAATCTAGGAGATAATTCCAATCGGAATTCATTCCGAATAGTTTCATAATAAATCTCCAGATTAGAAATTAGAGTAAATGAGATTTAATTAAAATAAAATTTTGACATTTATGTAGTTTCTAGAGGCGAAAATATACATGTAAAAATAATTTGGAGAAAATTACTCCTCTGACGAAGCTATAATTTCGCCGTTGCATAAACGCGCACGGATGCATGGGCGGATTAATTGTCCATCGTAAATTGCGTTTTTGCAACAAACTTCACGGATTATATCTGATATCGGTTTGCTCGGGAAGTGCGGTTAATATTGCAGCTGTTATGTACATTCGAGTTTGAATTATGCTAAATGAAACGCGAGCGAGAGAAATTTCCATCCGGTATTATATGTTGCGCCCGGCGTTACATTCCGGCAAGTCGGAAAAACTGCGGCGGATCTCTTCGACGAGAGCTGCGCGTGATGATGCGAGAGGGTGAAGAAAGGCGGGATGAAGAAAGAGAGAGACGATGCACTTTCCCGGAGCCCGGCTTTTGCGCCGCGCGCGCGCGCGCGCGTGCGAGGTGCACTCGATGTAAATTCGGTCGGCGGCGAGTTAGCGGCGCGGAAGTTCGGCGGACTTGTCGGCGAATATATTTATGCATGTGTAATGCGCATTTCACGCTGTCTATTCCGCGACGTTATTCCTCCGGCGCGGCGGATCTCTCTCGCGACCGCGCGCGCAGATACGCGCATTATGCAAAGCCCCGACGCGCTCCTTCTTCTCCTCCTCCTTCTCCTCCTCCTCCTCCTTCGCCTCCTCCTCCGGAGAAACGGTAAGCGAAAGCCTGGATTTTCTCGCGCGTGGTATGCCGACAACGAGGGCGGGAGAGAATGCCCGCGTTGCACATCCCCGATTACTCCGCTGCTCGAAAATTGGCCCAAGTCAGCGGTAGCGTAAGTTCTAACTAGCGTTTAGAACTTCTCCCTCTTCCGCGAAGGACTTTAACGGGGAAAGAGGGGGAGAGCGAAGAGGATCCCTTTATATCACTCAGACAATGTGTTACTATGCTTTTCACGTCTTTGCGGGTAATATTAATGCAAATTGGCAATGATAATTGCGAACCGCAACGTATAAATGAGGATAAACAATTAATATGGATAATTATTTGATAAGGAACAATTTGACTTTTTTTTATTTTGTTTCTTTTCTACTTCTTTTCTTTTATTCGCTTCTCTTACGTTCGACTGTTTCTTCTTGTTATCAGTTTTTGCTACTTTTTTCTGTAATTTTCTTCTTGCGCGAATTACGCAAACCAAAGCTTTTGCACGGAATTGGCCGTTCCGCATTCAAGACGCGAGGGAGAGAATTGCGGCCGAAACGCGCAAGTAGCGCTTTCGCGAAAAGCGCAGTAGCTGCAACTAAGTGCAGTTGCAGAAACGGCAGACGGGATTCTCTGAATCGTAATATTAATCGAGTACTCGCTCTGCCTTCCGACATCGTTGGAAAGTATGCGGGAAGAATTCGTATTTAGAAGGCGCATCACAGCAAAACGTGATAATCCGATGCGTCTCGTGCGAAAGGGGAGGAAAAAAGGCGAAAACTTTCGCGATGCAAAACTTGGCTACTTTGCATGGTAACGAGCTCCAAACACGCGATAAAATATCGCGGATTTCAGGAATTTCATTCGACTTATTCGTCTCCCGACAGCGTTGCATTGCCTTGAACAAACAGGTCAAAAGATTCTTTAATTTAATAATTTTTCAACAAAAAAGTTAGAGAGAAAATCTCAGAAAACGTTGAAAAAAATAATTGCAAGCAAAATCACAAAATTTGCTAAATATTTTATTTAAAAAAAAAACGAATAAACATCGCATTAACACCTCATCTTTCATTAGACATATTTTCTATTATTTTTTATTCAAAAAATATTTTATAATCTTTTAGAAAAAAGTTAGTGAATTAATCAAAGAATAAAATAGATATGACAATTGATTTTGATAAAATTGCATTCGATTATGATTTTTACTTTACAAGATATGGGAGTTTCAATACTGCAAAAAAAAAAAAAAATAAAATTTTTACTGAAATATTCAAACTGACTGTAATCCAATTAATTTTTATCAGAATAGAAATGAAAGACAATAATATCGATCGAGTCGCATCGCGAGAAAAAGTGACGGCCTACGTTAGAAAGGCGATAGAACGAAGCATAAAGATTTTCATGATGTAGAGATGGAGTTGAAACAAGAAGAACATTTCGATGCAAAACAATGAGTGATGGTCGCATTGTCGAAAGAGAACTTCTCCGAGGCAAATGGTAGGTGTTTGTCCCCTTTTATTCCCCCGCCTCGCAGTTGCACCGCAGAAAAGATATCGCTCTCGAAGAGCTTGAAGAGACTTCGCGAGAAGGGTTGCAAATTCCCGTTGGGAGGGAAGAGCAATGACGAAAAGCAGGACGAACGAAAAACCCAGCTTGCGAGCGTAATCGCATTTAGTAGAATACAATAACAGAGAGGAAGATCTTTTGGAAAATACTTTTCACGTTGCAGATATTTGGCAGAATATAATTCTCTTGCTTAATTCATAAGACACGAATTACATCTAAGTTTCCTTTGAAAATAATTTATTAGCATTCATTAGCATTCGTATTTCAATTCAATAAATTGGACCTGGCTGATTAAAATTAAAAATCTGTTTGCATCTTTATGCGAAAGAATCGAATTTTCCAAGTACAAAAAGAAGTGATGAGAAGAAGTGATGAAGAATAAAATCGTAATACGTATATCAGACGAAGAGAAAGTCTCCGGCGAAAAAGTTCGAGGCAACGGGATAAAACCAAAGAAATTGAAGCCGTGAGATTCAATAAGAGGGCGCAAAAGGGTAAAAAAAAAGAAGAAACTGGTGAGGTCCAGTCGCAAGTTAAAGCTCGCAGCGCGTCTCGTTGTTTTCTTTAATTTTCCGTCGTGGCTTTCTTTCTCTTCCTCCCTCTTCCTTTCCTTTTCTTTGTCTTTTTTCCATCGAGCTTTCTCTCAAGAATGTGCAGTTGCTCGCACTCTTTGTAGAGAGAGCACTCTCATTGTTATATGCCGTTCGCATTCGTAATAGCCTTCTTCACCAAAAAATGGAAGTTTGCGCCACGCCCAGAATATATAATTCGAGAAAGACGATATGTTGTCTGAGAAAAAATTCCTCGATAAGGATAAAGAGATGCTCTTGGGCATTCGAGGTTGAACGAGATTGAATTCTTAAGCGCGAAGAAATGAGATAGTTTCGCGTCCCGTTCGTAAAATTGGAATCGGCTGTTGGGAAATCTTTCTTACTGAACCTCGCCTCGCCGAAACGGTAATATTTACATAAAACATTAAAGAACAGATATATAATTAACTATCTCTCGTATATAATTATACATATGTCATACAATATATAAGAGATCTTACAAAATAACTGAAGCAAAATAAAATAAAAAAAATCGATTTGGAGAAAAAATAAACGAAACAATAATATATTGTAATAAATCATAGAAATAATAACGAATCTAAATTTGAATAGAGAATATCTTAATTTGAATATCTTAATTTTTAAAAATATATGGAAGCGTAAAAAAAATTGCAATGATGTATTCTGAAAGCAAATCATCATTTCCCGATTCCAGACCGATGCGACGGCAAGTTCATAAATCGAAAATTTTTCACGAAACCCGTTCGTAAAAGTACTTTCTCCGTCTCCTCGGGGACATGGAGAAAGGGAGAGTTAAAGCGTCTCGGTGGAATCGGGAAATATAAAGCTTGAAATAGACGAATAATACCCGAGAGCGTGTAAAACGAAGGAATCCAGTACAATTTAAATTAAACCAGAGAGAGCATGAGCAAGAAATTAAAATCCATTGCAAAGAGAATATAGACAAGAAGATCCACCTTAAGAAAGTCTCTTTAAGAAAATCCTTGCGTAACGTATATGTACAATCATATGTACAATATGCATGAGTCTGTTGTACGTGCAAATGTGTAAAAACATTCTCATTACGCTCAATGAAACAGTAGAAAAAAATGCAAGAGTATGCAAATTAAAAAAGTTAATATATGAAACTTGAGTCCATGCCGTGCGATAAATCTGCAGCTTAATTATTATAATGTAAGCAACACTCGCGATATTTGTACGAGAGAATATCGTAAATTTTTTTATCCTAGAGAATCATGAATTATATTTTTGATAAAAGGAAGAAATTAATATACTATTAGTTTTCTTTCAATTTAAGAACGATTGACAATTGCTTTTTTTGCGATTCTCCGACCATGATTATTACGATTGTGAAGTCGCTATTGGATTTTTCGCGAATTAAAAACCACAGATCGCAGTAGCTTTTCTCGATAAAATTTTCTACGTTCGTGAACGAACGCCACATACGAACATGCGAATGTATATTCGTTCAATTCGCGCAAAGTAAACACGTTTTTTTCACGTCTGCCTATTTTCTTCACCCCCTTCGAGCAAAGACAAATATTCACATTGTGGACCTTTTCGTCACCCTTCGTCGCGTGACAAAACAAATTTCTCAATTTTGACATTCTCCGTGGGAATTGCGCGAGCCCGATGGAAATTTTAGGGGATGGTTGGCTGGCTTAACGATAAATCCTGATGATTTATACTACGTTCATACGAGCGCGTCGCAAGAGCGGCCAAAATTTTAAAGTATTTATGATTATTACGAATAAAACAATGTATATAGATTACGACAAAAATAATTATTAATTAGAATTATAATATAAAGCATTAAACGCTTATAAAAACTTTTTCTTCTCGAAATAACAAGTTATTCTGTATAAATGATGTATTATTATTTTTTTAATATTTATCTATGACTCTTTTCCTTTCTGCAATCCGTGATATAAATCTCGAAATAAATACAGAGATTTATGTCCATTTATTCAATGATTAAAAATGTTTTTATTCATTTTATTTTTTTTTTTATTATTTTTTCTTCCTCTCTTTTATCTTTCAACATAGAAATTTAAATATAGATCTCCGTTCGCTCTCTTGTCTTCTACGCTTCTTTTCGCGACGCGGAAGAGTAAATATCCTCTTTGGCCGCTTGTCCTGACCGACTTCATATACGACCAAGCGGACAAGCAGACTTTTTGTAATAACTCTTCGTCGTCGTCGTCGTCGAAGCTATCGACGGCGCCGTATCGAGCGTCCTCGAGGCGCAATAATGCCGACACATTCGCCCGATTCCTTATCCTTCCAGCTATTGAGTCGCGCAGGTGAATTGGCCAGATGAGTCGACTCGTAAAGTGGTCTGACACTTTTCGATGCGGAAAATCGTCATTATCCTCCATTGTTAATTGAGAAGTTCCGTAAAACAATAGCGAGAGGATTTTAAGTAAAAATTTAATCACGGTAAAACAAAGATTAATAACTAATTTACAAACAATATTTTTTTAAATTATTTTGAGCCAGACAAGACACTTATAAATTTTTGGATGCTAGAAACGATGCAAATCAAATTTTTCCAGCATAGATTTCCAAAATAATTAGTTCAATAGCAAAATTGGCTTTTTTGAAATATTTGAAGAATTTTTTTTTATAGAGAAGGTTAACGATATCTTGTAACTTTGATTCGAAACCATGAATGTATTTTTCGTCTCCTATGAAATGCATTTTTTAAATTTTGATATCTTACTTTTTAATCATGTTATGAAGAATTTTAATACAAAGTTTTGCTAAGATAACACAGATTTTTGTTATATTCATAAGAAATTGTCTAATTCAAAATAATCTTTTGCTGTAAATTAGTGTAATTAGAATAAGTAAAAGATTTAATGAAACGACAAAAAACTTACAATAAAATAGTAAAATGTAAAACCATAATTAAATATAAAGGATAACTATGTAGATACATAAGAAATCTCAAATAGAAGAGTTTTCCGCCCATCTCCTATCTCAACTCAATTATGTAACGGTAAACCTGTCCGGTGGTTGTACATAATTTATTCTCCCGAAGTGCGCTTAGCTGGCAATCTTGCGAGTTGTTCGGAACTTGCCATCCCCGGAGAAGGTAGCGACAAGTTGAAGGACGATTTGGAGTTTGTCAAGCGGATATATCTCTGAAATAACTCACCTATCATGGGCCGCCTCCTCGAGACAAGTGATGACAAGCTCGAAGTCGTTGAGCTTCTTCTTGCAGAGTACGCTCTTTAGATGTCCGGCCAATCGCTGCGCCTCATCCGCCGGAAACTCCTGTCCCAGAAGAGACGTGATCCTGACGAGTTTGACGCTTTCATTGCCAGCGAGCGCGTCGAAGAAATCGTCCAGGTATCTCGGATCGGATCCTCGTTCCACTTGAAAGACTACCTCGAGCGCCTCGAGTGTGCAAGCGGGACTTTCGAGAATCCTGGCCCATCCTTCTAGCTCCAGGGGAGACGTGTGCACGAGGGGGGCCGGGGGCCGTTCGTTGGGTGCAGGTCCGAATCCAGGACCCGCACCGACCAGTCGGCAAACTGCCGAGATATTGCCGTCAGAAGCGCCGGCTGCCTTTAGCAACGAGAACACTGCTCTGGGTGGCACTTCCAGTGGGCATAATTGATTCAGAATTAGATGAGTCTTGGGTCCCAGCAAGCCAGCCAGATGACCGATAATGCCCGAGGGTAGACCTTCCAATTCGCGGCGCAGGATATTGGCGTATTGCGCCACTGAGGTCAAGTAGTACGCCGCCAAGAATTCCGCCACCGCCATATGAATGGGCGTGTAAAGATCTGGCTTGCGTCTCTGACCGAAGGTCAGTCCCCTGGTGAGAAAGCCGAGTCGAGTGACCTCGATGCCTCCACCCCGCGCCCTCAACTCAGCCTCCGTGTAACAGCACCTGCCTTCCCTTAGGGCAGCCAGGGACACCTTACCGAAGTCCTCGAGACGCTTCCTACAATGGCCCGGAATCTCCTCGTTATAGGGAATCGGCGGGTCTAAGCTCCTCTTCACAATGCACTTCACCGCCGCTTGCACAAGAGCGCTTGTCTCAGTCGGCAGGCTTCCGGAGTCCTGATAAGAAAGATCATATTCGTGGATCAAAGTATTATGGAGCATTTTCTAGGACTCTATTGTTATGTCTTATCTGGCTTAAACAGTGAATATCTCTATAGAGGATACACGAAGTACATTTTGTATTCACAGCAAAACTTGAATACTTACAATGTGAAAATAACTATATCTCGCTATCATAATTAACTAGATATTACATAAGAGTAGTTTTACGAGTTAATTGTTTTATTCGAAAAATTTGCTAAATAAATTTATTCAAAAAAAAAATAAAAATTCGTTACTAAATTTATTTTATTAAGGATAATAATATAACTCTAACCAATCACAATTCTTCCAATAAAATTAATAAAAATATGCAACGTAATTATAATGTATTTTATCAAATTTAACAAGTTTAATTTTATGATTATAGTATTATATATTTCTTTTAAGAAATGAAAAGTATAATTCTGACCTTTTTAGCTAAAATTCTTTATACAATAGTTAACAAATATCGCAATGTTTTTCTCGTGACGACAGATCCATACCTGATACAAGCAGCAGAGCATGATCCAGCCGAGCGGATGCTGGCCGAGCTGCCTGACAGATTGCGGCTGTACATTGAGCGCCTCGAGGAATTCGCAGGCCTTCTCGGCGATGTCATTATGAATGAAGTAGGCCACGCAAAGTCGCTCGACGTGCGGCCACTCAAGACCGGCAAGGTGGATTCTGCGTTGAACCAAGGGCGCAAGGGCGGTCGAGTTACTGGGCGAGCACGTGACCAGGATCCTGGCATTCGGGAACAGTCGGCCTTCCAGCAGATCGGCCGCATCACCGAGCGACGCCCGGCCACCCACGCACTCGTCGTAACCGTCCAGGACGAAGAGCACGCGGTCCTCCATCAGGTGCAAGGTGCGCCACACTTGGGCGACTGCATCGCCCAACGCGGCCGTTCTTGGGAACAATTCTCGCGCCAGATAATTCAGGACGGGGCTGCCGCGAAGCTCGCGTAACGGCACGATAAACGCCAGAGCGGGACCGTCGCTCTGAGTCGCCCATTGGTGCAACAGTCGCAGGCAAAGGGTAGTGCGACCACTTCCGGGACCGCCCTCGATGGCGACGCGTCGCGGCGCCTCGGACATGGTACCGTCGCTCAGCTAGAAATTATAATTTTTTTACGCGTAAGTAGAATATTATATTTAAAATTAAAAAAAAAAAAATCTGTCTAATATTTTCGAATTATATATATTTAAGAAGAATATAGCTATGTGTTATCATTGAAATTATTATAATTAAAAAATAGCATTGAGCAACGCGGGAGAGATCCTCAAATTATTCGAGGTCTGTAAATTCCAATTTTCGAAGAATATTAAAAAATTTTTCAAGAATAAAAATGTATTAAAACTAAAGGAACAAATTGAAAAAAAGCGGACGGATAACATTAATATCTCGGTTTAATGTAAATTTCTCATATCAAAACACGGAAACAAAAAAGTGTAATGCAATGTTTGCGTACAACAGCAAATAAAAACTGCTGGAAATTAACATGTAAACTAAAGTAAACTTGTGACAAGCACCGTCCACATGGACCGCAGACAACTGGTCGACATAAGGCGAGAGTAAAAAGGCTAAATGCGATGAGTTACGAACTGTTTCCTCGCGTAGCGAAAATTCTTACGGTTGGTGGCTTGAGAATAAGAGAAAAAAGTTTAATCACTTCGTGACTAGTTTGTCGGATCCTTCTCGCTTTCCTGATCTCGGTCTCCGGTCAGCCAATTAGAACTTAAAACCTGCCCTGCAAATCACTAATCCCCTTCGATAGATCAACTGTCGTTCGGGACTTCGCAACACTTCGGACACCTTATTGTCACCGTGAGATTACACATTACACGTGAGATCAACATTTGATACTACATTTTGCAATTTTGCATCGCGCCTAGCAAAATTAGGACGTTTTTCTCACGAGAATTAATATCTTTAAGCAAAAATGTGAAATTTTTCATCGTCAAACTGTAAGTTCTTTTAAAATAAAACTTTTTTCAACTGAACAACCATGTTTCATTAATATATTTGCGTTCCTATAGTTTTATCGCAGGCCTCTCGATTCATAGGTTGTATAACAACGCGCAATACTATTTCCCATCAAATTACACTTTTGCTGGCAAATCTAAAAGTCTAAAGCCAGATCTAATCCTAATACAAATTTGAAAATAATTTTGGGCCAAAATTATTTATGTACAACTGATCAAATTGATTGCTAGCATTATTTAGCAAGTTTTGCTAGCAAAATTTAGCATTATTATAACGTTCTACATAATAATTTTGATGATCCAACAAAATTATTTTCAGATCTGTATCTGATTTAATTTTTAGATTTGCCACAAAGCAGTTCTTGACAGTACTTTCTGTATCGTATTTGAATAGAAGGAAAAAGTGTCGCACGGCATTGCAGTTTGAGCATTACGCAAACGATTAGCGATTAAACCTAGCGCATTTTCCGACACCGCGATTTGTCGCACCGACGGCCGCGTCATCGACAGTGCATGGTAGCGATCGATATTGGCGGGCAGCATCTCGTTTCTGTAATCGATAACCATAATCCGAGCGCGCGGAACACGCGGCGTTTGCCGGTCATTCACTCTGTCAGCGATAATCGATCCGGTCGCGCGCGGCGTACACAATCTGTCGATGGATAACAGCGCGGCCATTATACACCCGTGCGATTGTAACATCCGGTTATTTGGACCCCGCGAATGAAAAAGAATGCGATGCGACTCTATTCATCGTAGGCATGTTACACGAATGATTTCAAACCGATAAAATGTATGCATTCGGCACGACTTTTATCACAGAGCGGATGTGCGCACCTGTACCGACACACCTGTCATCTAATACGTCGGTACACATATACACGTACATGTACACACACACACACACACACACACACACATACACACACACACACACACACATATGAACCAAATAGTTCAAACTACAAACGTACAGCTCTCCGTCATCGATTTGGATTATTTGATTAATTCGAACCGTTCCATTTACTCGACAAAAATTTAATCGACGTAAATTTAATTTCCTCGTCTCCTTCAGTTTTCACCAAATATCTCTGCATTCGGAGAATATTGAAAGATTACAATATTAATAAATAAGGCGATTAACATATTATTAAAGTTTTTAGTGTTTTTCACGGAGAAAAAATACAAATTAGACTTCTGTTGGACTGACGTTCGATTGAAATTAATTGATTCGAACGTTAACCGAGGATTAACGAAACGTCGATAACACGGCACGAGTTTTTGACGAGATAATGCAACAACGTCGATGTATGAGGGATCGCAAGCTCGTTACCGGATAATCCATCGGCATATTCCTACGTCACGCAGGATCTACCTATCAATCCTTCGTGGGACCACATTTGTTTTGGCCGCTACCAGCCGCAACCAATCTCGCATATCGGGAGACGAGGGGGGAACGAGGAGAATATCCCGCGGAAGTGACGTACGCGATGCGTCGTGAACAGTCGACGTCGCAAGAATACAGGCCGATAAATCGTCCTTCATTTCCAGGGAGATTAGAAAGTCCGCACGCCCGTAAATATTCCTCGATAAACCGAAGCGGGAAAGCGCGTTGAAGAGGCGAATGACATTTATCGTATCATCACGTGGAAGTTTTTTTTTTTTGTTCAAATACGATGTGACAATTTTCGCAGGCGGTAATGTAAAGGCAAGCTTTTGATAGACGCGAATCAACAGCGTATATATTCCTCAATTTTTTTGTGGATTATTTTTATTTCTCCGATGGCAATTTTAAAATAAGCAGGAAATTATATTTGCATCGTAATGCATATTTATGCATTTAATTTTCATATAAATAATAGTAATTCTTAATTATTATATATTTATTTCACAATGCCACGTCATATATTATTATATCGTAATTAATATATGATCGTTAATTATCACAGTGTAACAATAAATATTTATATCAATATACGCGATATACGTCAATGTGCCAATTATTTTCACAAATGACAATCCAATTAGACGAATTCGTCGCGGGCGGAGATGAGTTGAAAAATGGTAGCGGCGTATCGACGAATCTCCACAAAAGAATCGGAGCGCGCCGCTTGATATTCATGGCGATAGCGCGAGAGATATCGCGCTTCATCCTGCCGTGGGAAATTTAAGGAGACAGTGATACAGGGAGCGGAGTTTCGCAGGAGGGAGGGGAGGGGAGGGGAGGGGAGGAGAAGAAGGCGATGGGCGATGTGTCTCTTCGCGAGCATATCGTGGAAAGAAATGCGATGAGAAAGATTCGCCGCGGCCAGGCAGAGCGCACCAGATATACGTCTCGATGTATCCGGAAACGGCAGGCGGCGATTGGACGTGGATCGACCGCATCGGGTCGTCCCCTCTCATCCTCGGCTGATCTATCATCGATCCACGACCCCGCAAACCGAGGCAACGAAATGCACAAACGCGGCATCGCGGTTCGCGTTCCTCCGCGGAAAAATCTCTGAAATAATAAAATGCCGACCTGGCGGTCCTCCTACAATTGACGCTCCCAATATAATGTTCTTTGCATTTTTCTTTCTTTTTTTTTTTTACTCTCGGATGCCGCGAAATTTATGACGGTGCTCTTCACTACTTTCGCGCCGCGAGAACTCATTAGTGATCTCGATTATTCATTTTCCGCGCTCTTTTAATTCACGGAGTCGACTGGCTTTTCCTCCGGATTCAAAGATATCTGTCGTCGCATCGATATCTCGCGGAATAAAGTCTCTATGACGCGATTGTATAAACAAGTAAGTTTCGAGCGCAATGTCCATTAACGAACAGCGGTGGCTCCATTCATTGTATGCAAATTTGTATAGTGGATAATATAAAAATATACACGCATCTCTCTTCTTCGCCATGAGAGGTTGCTATAATTTTTTTACAGTTTTAAGAACAGAGGCGGCGATCGTATTTTTGCAGAGAAAAAAAACCAAAAACAAAAAAAAACAAAATCGACGTTGCGCCGATTTTTCATATTTTTGTTGAAACCATCGATGCTCGATTTGAGGATCTTAATCATTCGTTTTTTCAAATATCGATCTCGATATTTTGATTCCGACAGGATTTTTCCACGAGTTATGCCCAGTTCTCAGAGAATCGTATATTGGTTTTGCTCGCAATATTGACTCTTCATCGGTTTTAATCAACAAATACTTTGATAAATTTGAAGGCGGATTGTCGAAACAAACAAACCACATTCTATTTATATAACGAAAAAATAAGAAGAAAAACATATTTTGCCCGAAATAAATTATTGAACATTTAAATAGGTCTAAAATGTGCAATCTAGTCTAAAAAATACAACAATGTAAAAATTAACCGTTTAATATTTTTTTTATAGCTTGTCGAGAATTTTACATTTCAACGGAAAAAATTGATTGTTCCAATGTAAAGAAACAAGATTGTATTATTTATTAAAATAAAAACATCATGAAAAGATACCATGAGATAAAAAATGATATACTTTGTTCATGTAACACTAATTAAAAAATTGTCAAAATGTAATTAAAAAAGTGTCAAAATAATTAAATACGCGACATTAAGAAGTCTACATTCAAAAAAGCGCGCTTCATTAAAAAAAAATAAGTAAACATTCCAAATATTTCGTATGTAAAATGAGAAACAAGTTACTATATTTACATTTAACAGTCGTATTTCCAAAAACACGTTTTCTTTCTAAAAAAATATTTTATGTACCAAAATCAACAATTCATATCAAAAGCCATAGGAATTGTATTTATGAAACAAAAATATAACAGGCGCTTTTTGCAAACCATTTTCGGATGAATAAAATATCGAGAAAAATGGCTTTTTCCTAACATTTCCATCTTTTCCCGCGCTTGCAGTTTTTCATTTCTTCTTTTTTTGTTTTTTATGTCTGCTCTTTAATTTCTGACGCGCGAAGAAATTAGGATGCATGCGACAAATGCGAATGCATTTCGTGGATCTAAGGGCGGTTCCTGAAGGTTGGCTCTGTACTCGTCTTTTTCCGCGGTAGAAGCACATCGGTTTTATGACACGGATTCATCCCCGTTCTGCCGGTACATAATTCCCCAAGCCCAGTCTATGCCCGCACCTTCCTTCTTTCCTACCATACATATCCTACGTATGTCCCGACGGTTACGAGACTCATTTTTCGACGGGAGCGTTTCCGGGCGACGTGGCGCATTGTCTGCATTTTGTGGCTCTTTACGTTACGTAGCCGCGATATATCGCATGTAACGAGCGAGAGAGACAGGTTTCTCAGGAAGAAAGAGAATACGTCAACGACAATGAACTCGCGTTTTTTAAAACGACTTTAAGAAGAATTGCTCTTTATCGATTTTCAATTTCGCTATCGTATGCTTCGAAATGTTTTCTCACATACACACATCTCTTCATTAACTTATTAACGTGTTTTTATCAATCACACGAGATAATAAATTAAATGATAAACAGAATAATTGAGCGAGCTCAATTATTATTGTAAGTAAATATATTTAATAATTAAATGTATGTAATTTTTCATAAATATAAATTTGATATTCTTCTTTTTCGATGTATTATTATAAATTATAATTATAAAAGATAGTGATTTTAATTATTTATTTTTGACCTCTTAATTAATGTACTCTTTTCTTCGTGACAGCTTATAATTATTATTCTAATTTATTTTCAATTGTAATAATTATACTTTTCATAATTAATGTGTTCTCCAAAAACCAAAAATTGATTGCATTTCGCTCGTCATTATCGCATTCTAATGCACGATTTCGAAAGTCGAGAAAAAGAAACAAAAGAGTCTAGGGATTTCACTCCCAACTCCGTTCCGGTGAGAATTATGGTCGCGGTTGGTTTTTCCATCCGATGAAAGAGCGTGGCCAACGGCTAACGGGGAAACGTTAACGAATCGGCTTATCGCAACAGAACAATGCTTCGTTACGTGATGCAAAAGGACGCCTGGCCGATCGGCGTCTCGGCGCCGCCGATCAAAATCCCTTTTATCCGAGGAACGAGAATTACGAAGCGAGCAACGAAGATATTATCGCCGGGACGTGAACGACCATTCGCGAGACGTGAGAACCGCGCGAGAAGCTCGAAGCCACCTCCTTATCACCATTCGTCGTGATCGATGTGCCATCGTACGTGCACGTGCACATTAAATCTGGATACATTCAACAATTTGTCTGAATTCGATCTCGCTGAGTCTACGACTTTGCTTGAATTTTAAAAGATTAAGTCAACGTCTCAATCTCCGATTCGATATTTCATTTTTTGGCCACAATTTGTCTGAACTGAAGATTTTATGACAGTGTCGAAAAATTTGAGAGAAATTCGATATTTTAACTAACCGAGCAAATTTTTTTAATACGTATGTAAATTTGATGAGCTCTTCTATCTCTATATTGCCAAAAATTAATGAATGATATCAAACGTAATGTTTGTTAATGAGAATTTAGAGAAAATTGTCCAAACCCATTACAACTTAGTGTACTGATATATAATTTTTCATTTTTCATGATTGCACTAATTACTTTTTCAATTTAATAAAAGACGCGTAACTCTGACTTGAAATGCGATGTAATCGCTATGCAATTTCACGTTGCCTTTATCCTCAGAAATCGATTCGGCGCCATCTGATCAAAACCACTATCCGACAGTCAGAGCAACAGTGACTATAAATCCTGTAGCATGCCGATTCGAGCGTCATTGCATTTCACTCGCGAGAGACTGCATCGAGAGTGCAAGAAGTCGAGCGGCCTCGTGCCGAGAACTCGAGACAGCGAATCGCGAAGGGAAGGAAGTTCGCAGAACTTTTTCAACTCCTCTCTCTCTCTCT